GTGGCAGTGCACTGCTGAGCATACCCATCTCCCTGCTCAGGGCGGCCCAGGCAAAGCTGGGAGGACGCGATTCTGATTCGGGGTGCAGCACCCCCGGCCCCACGGCAGGGCGAGAAGCGTATCCTGAAGCAGGGAAAGGGGCCGTGAATGGCTGCGGTTTGGGGCTGGCTCTGAAACCGGCCCCGCCAGGCGTGCTTGCACATAAGGCAGGTGAATGCAAACACTGCCTGGGGCGTCAGCTTCCCGGGGGTGGAGCTGCTCCAGGACAGGTGGCAGGGCTGAGCCCGGGGCCCTGCAGAGCCTGAGGAGCCCTGCTCCAACACGGAGCCCAAAGCAAACGACCTTCTCACCTGGGCAGCGAGTTCACCTCCCTAAAAATCAAATTATTGCCTCCCTCTGCCTCCACCACTACCAAGCAAGGCTGGCCATGGCGAGCATGGACTGTCCGGGGAAGGAAGGTGCGGGGGTCAAGAGGAGGAATCTGTCCCTGCTGAGGAACAAGCTGTACATGGGGGAGAGGAGGAGGACGGAGCCTGTGGTGGAGAGCACCGCTGCTGCCGGGGACCACGGCACCTTGAGGAGGAGTCAGTCCGACAGGACAGAGTACAGCCAGAAGTTACAAGGTACCGGGGCAAGTTTGCTTGGTGCTCTGCTGCTCGGGATGCTCTGGGCTGGGGTGGTGTCTCGATGCCCTCCAGCCTCGAGATAAAGAAGGGGATGGCAGTTTCTGCCCCCACGCACTCACAGGTGGAGGGAGCAATTGCCCCCTCTCACCTTTGCCACCCACTTCCAGGATGTGAAATGTTTCCCCTAATTTTTTTAAGTAATGCCACATAGATAGGATGCAAAATGCAATTAAAGAGTTTGGTGTGTTCCTGCAAAGTGTATGTGATACCAGGATCTTTCTCATTCAACACCAGAACACATTTGCAGCACAAACAGTAATGTGAAAATACGATAGCTCCATCCTATGTCTTTGGCTGACATATCAAGTAGGGTATATGCTAGGTAGTTAGAAGCATCGAGGGCCGTTCTTTTCTTTCAGTTAAAAATTCCAAGATCTATAATGTGTTTATCTGTTATTCGGATTGCACAAGCCTGAACTGAAGTATATCTAAATACATGTTTTGATGGACATACTGTTTCAAATGATACCATTATGGAGAGGGATTTTCAAATAACCAAATTGCATCTGGACCAAAAATTGGCAAAATATGTGGGTATTTGGATTGTCAATCAAAAATTATATGTGGTGACACAAATTGAGGAAAAGCATGAAGAATGTGTATGGCTATTTTTGGGTGTGCTCTGGACCACAAACTGCTGAATTTCTGTGGATTTCCAGGGTCTCGAACAATAGGGTCTCATCAAAAATGCGGGGTTTGAGTATTATTATAATATAAGCATGTATTACTGATGGTAATATAATTGCTTAGTGACAGTCACTCATGTGGCAATAATCCTTTATGGAGAAATAAAATAAGAAAATACTTTGGGTTGCTGTATTATGGTTCTGATGCACTTAATTAGGAAGTAGCATTCCTTCAGAGAGAAAATAAAAGCAGGAAATAAAATAATAAACCCGAAAATAATAGGATTTCTATGGAGGCTGCATACACTGAGAACAACAGAGCAGTTCATCGATTATGCTGTTCCCTTCTCATGATAGCTAATCAATGAGAAGATGAAAAATTTTCAGTTAAGTCAGGCACACGCTGCAGGGATCTGGCAGGAGTGTTTAAGGGTACAAGCATGGATTGCTATGGCTGGGCAGGAAAGCTCCTGGCACGCATCCCACCAAAACCGCAATTCTTTACTCATGAAGGGGATTGCCCAGGTGAGGTCAAAGTTATCAGAGCGATAGCCAGAAAAAAAAAAGTGGGAGATCTTTCTCTCCTGCGTTGGATGTATTTTTGCCATGAATGTCTCCTGTTTAAAATCTGGAGAAAAGGAAGGTGGGGAAGCCTCGGTAGTCATGGCAGAGCATGAGGTTATGTTATGGCAGCAGTCCAAGGAGACAGTAAATCCAGCTTTACAGCTCCTGCCACCAGCTGAGATTGTTGCGGCCAACTATTGCAAAGCACGAGTCTGGTATCAGCTCACTCTGCTTTCTTGTGTTTGGTCAAGTAAAACAGTGATGGGTTAACAAGGTCCCTGCAGGCTTTCCATTGGATAGAAGTTGCCTGTCCTCAGAAAATACAAAGTTGGTAGAAATTTCTATGAAGTGTATTTACAGTTGCAATAGAAAGAAAGGCAGTTGTTTGTCAAGGCCTGATCTGGATCAAATTTTGCTGAGCTAGGTGTGCCTGAATCTGATAATGATCATGGATCCCAGGCCTAATGTGCTACGTGACAGTGCTGACGATGTGCCATGATTGAACACCGTTATGTCCTTCATTTTTCTCACTGGTGCTTGGATGTGAAGCAGCTTACTCCAAGGTGAGAGAAGTGGTTTTGTTCGCACAAAGCTTTTGAGTTTTCCACACTTGGTAAGAAAACCCAGCAGCTCTGTTGGTGACATAAAAGGCCTGTTGTTTATCACCAGGTCTGGTACTCCCTGATCACCCTGAAATGGTAAATGCTTTGCAAAAAGATATACAAGATTTGCACTTGCTTCCCATATGAAAAAAGCTCTGTGTTTAGTTGCATCTCCCTTGTTTAGTCCCCTTTTACTACGTTTTCTAACACACAGTCTGCAGAACTGTGGTAGGTATTGGCACAGATAAGGAGATACAACAAAAGCAAACCCTGCAGAGGGGAATCTCCAGTGAGTGGGGCTGGTTTCCACAGCTGAGAGTCAGAGGCTGCAGGACCCCCATCTCTGCTAGTGGCCGGGAACTTAGGCAGAGTGCAGTGACCAAGGTGTCTTTATGCTCCGGTGCCTACGTCAGCACTGCAGGACATTTACACAAGGTGAAGACATCTCTCAGCGCCCTTCCAGCCCTTTGCACACTTTAAATGGTTCCCCGAGTAGAAATCAGGCTGTTTCCCCCCACAGCCATTTCCAGCAGCTCTGAAGTATATGCTCAAAGTGCAGCTCAGTGTGCTATAAACATAGGTCCCCAAATAAAAACATATAAACAGAAAAAAAACCCAACCAAAGTGAAGTAAGCAAGCAGTCAGGCATAAAAACTCTTGATAATTCAGTTTCTGCCCTTGGATTTCTCTCAAGTTTTGCTGATTTATACAGAATCCAAAATGTTTTCTATAAAGACGGAGACAGGGAGCCTACTCCCCAGATCTGCAGGGCAATCAGAGTGGTTTGCTCTGTAAGTCTACAAACATGAGCACAATAGCATTGTCAAAGGTGCAAACTCCTGCACGTGTTTTTCACTTTAAAATGAAGGATTCATTTAAAACACAAGAAAGCATTTTCATGGTTAATTATTACACTGGACACATCTATTCAATACCTTATCTGGTGTGAATGGACATAAAACACCTCCTGACTTTACTCTTTTTAAAAAGGAAATAAGATGCAAAATGACCATTATATTCTCAAAGAGCTTGGCAAGGATTAGTGCATCTATTTCAACTCACCCTGTGAGATAACTAAATGCCTGCAGCCGCAGCTTAGGGGAATATAAGGTGATTGATATCAAACAGCAAGTTTGTGATACAACCACACAGTCATCTAGAACTCGGGTTGTAGTTGCATTTTTGGATGAGTCCAGAAACACCTTGATTAAGCCGTGTATAGATTATTTTTTCCATAGTTCTCCATCAACCAGACAGAAGCATCACTTTTCTAAAGAGGGAAGAATGGAGTTAAGGAAGATATATTAACTAGCATTTGTGGTGGATGCAGAAGAAGTATCAAGAGTTGTTATAAGAGCTCAGACAGAGCTCCTGTGATATTTCTGTGCAGTGTCATGCTCTATATTCACTAAAAAATCCTGTGTCCTTTCAAGAGGAATGAAGAACTTGCTACTGTCCTTAAGCAATGGCACAAAATGGTATTTAGCACATTTTCAAATGTATTATCCATAGCTGTTGAGCTGGTAGAAGTTGGCCTCTTATACAGTGAAAATCTGGTAGCGCCTATAGAAGTAAATATATTAATATCTATGTCTTGCATTAATGTTGGGATCAGTCTTTGAATTAACTTAAAGCTACCATTCTGTGCGTACCTATGTATTTCGGTGAGTTTTCTTCATGTAGTTATTGGCACTACACAAACTACATTCGCAAGATAAGGGCAGACTAAGATATAATATAACATGGGGATAGATGGTACTAACCAAAAAAGGGCAGACCATGAAAAAGATTTAAAACATAGTTCATTGTCTCTTAGGTTTGGGACAGATTGATGGTTTTTTGTTAATAATCATATACCAAACTTGTGCTTGGTGCGAAAAATGAGCTATAGAAAGTGATGGGTTTCCAGAAAGAATCAGAGATCACATTTGCAGGGTTCAGTGAGACAGTGCATGCTTTGAAAATACTCCTTGTTTAACAAATCTATGACATATTAACTCCCTTATAATTTTAGCTGTGAATGGATCAACTGCACTGTTAAATGATTTGCACAGGCTTTAATTTAAAACACATCAGTGACATACCTGTAATAGATACAGTGTTTCAGATCACACAGCTACCACAATATACTGCCTCAGAGCTTGTATCTGAACTCTAAATTCCATGTTTTGCTGGTGTCTAATGTAGTTACAAGAAATTACCAACACCAGAAGTGATGCAGAAACCTGCAAACTTATACAGATTCCTGGAAAGTTGCTATCCCTTGGTGTACAAAAGACCAGTCAGAGGCAACTCACCCTTCTTCAGTCCATCACAAGCAGGGCATCTTCCCCCATCCCATCCCATCCCATCCCATCCCATCCTCCTCCCTGCCTGCAGAGGACACCTTCCTGCAGGGGTTGCCCCTGCACACAGCTTCTCAGCAACTCCTGCCAGAAGTAAAGATCCTCTTTGCCTCTCCCCAGTTCCTTATTTGCTTTGCAATCTACTTACTGATTAACTTTCTCTGGGCTACAATGCAGATAGTATCCTATTTCACTGGAAAATGTATTGATCTTTGGAGCGGCTGCTTTGCTGAAATACAGTAAGGAGCAAAAGTCTGCAATGTTTCCTGAAGTGCAGGAGATAGCTGCATGGAAATACCCCCTATGACATGTGATGAGAAATCACAATCCAACAAATACTTTTATTTTCTCCTGTGCAAATTTAAGCTCAGAGGATCCGATTCTGTTAACTTGTACTGCAATGAAGCTGGAGTTATATCTTGAACTTATTGCTGTTGGCAGCCAGGCTGCGAAGCGAGCTCATCTTTACAGAGCAGAATCCATTTTGTGCTGCTGTGTTTGCACAGCACTTGGCACAATCAAGTCCTGCTGTGTGGCTTAGGACTCTTAGGAGTTACTCTAGAGTAACTAGTAACAGCGACTAGGGTAAAGGAGTGAAGAAGACTAGGGCCCAAGCTGGTTTATAGATCCTTCTCTGAGTGTATTAGCAAACACTTTATTAATTGAGATACTTTTCATTGTGGGTCACACATCTCATAGTTAGTACAGCTAATCCGTGCCAAATTTTGAGATGTACGTGTCCCAGAGGAAGCGGTTCAAATACATCCCTTCCTTGGTTCTTACTTTATTAACATATTAGCTCAGTGCCACAGAAATAGTATATTTATACTGGTATATGACACATTGGAAAGGTTTATTTGTGAATATTGGTGCTAACAATAAGGGCATTCTACTGTCACCTGATTATAAGCTTTCTTCCCTTCCACTGTGGTCACATGGGATCTCTCTGTACTCCTGTCAGCAGATATATAATTAAAGTGGTCTACTGTCAAGGAATCAAGGAAAGAGCTTGTGTGCTGAATATAAATATTTTCTGTACCCTGTGGAACAGAAAAATTATCAAAGATCAAATGACCTAATTGGAAAGAAGTCTCTGATGGAGATTTTATGAGAAAACCTGTTGCCCAGGAAGACTGGGCAAGGTCATTCTGGACCTGTTCTCCTATGTTCAGACAAGAGGCTTTTTCCATGCGGAACTCACAGTTCATGTGCAACAAACCCGCTCCCGCACAATGCTGCTGCTATGTGTATCTGTGAGCAAAAGATGAAATGGTATTTTCTACAACGCTCTCCCAATCTTTTGTATTTCATTGCCCAGCTTGGAGTTCAGTAGATGTAATTCATACCATGTTTGCACTATATTGTTGTACTGTAACAACTCAGGTGCAAAACTATAGCGGCACCCCTATGAAGTGATCCCTCACAAGGAGAGGGGGATCTGGAGTAAAATTCTTGTGTGTTAGCTCCTGCGATATACTTCTCCTGCATGCAGCGTGACATTCCATCCTTTCCCATTTCAGGCTCCCTCATTTCCTAGGATTCCAGCGTCCCTGTGCCCTGCAGCCCTCCTGGCACCTGCAGTGGGAGCAGCAGTGTAAAGGGGCAGAGCTCGCGATGTGGTGTGAGAGAAGATATGAGGAGGGAGAGAAAAACTGTCACAGCAGTAGTCTGTGAACCTGGCTGCCTATGTTTCATTCCGGAACCCAGCTGATAAAAGCTGGCGTATATTCCCACATGCAATAGCTAGGTTATCTCAGGGTACAGGCTATCTGAGGACTTGCTTTCCCAGAGGTGTAATTTTATCCAGGGTGGTGTGAGACTGAGATTTTACATGTAAAAACACAGTAATGCTGTAACTTGTTTGTTATACACTGATAACTTATGCCTTCACTGCTCCCTCGTGCTAGGCAAAATCCCTGTATTTGCACAGCATGAGTGGAGAATTGCATTCCTTTGGTGTCCTCCAAATGCTGCCTAAGTAATGGAAAGATTTGTTACTCTGTGCACCGACACCAGGGCACTTGTTGCTGTATTCTTTGCCAGTACCTTCACTTCCAGATGCACAGCACTGGATGGGAACATGGGTCCCATCCCCAGGGGCAAAGGTAACATCCAGCCTGAGCATCTTTCCTGAGAGGAAGGATGGATAGAGCAGACCTTTTGGAGCTGCTTACTCTCTAGGTGGGAAAGCCAGGGAAATTTGCATGCATAGGTCTTGCAAACCTGCGATGGCTGCTCCTCCAGACCCTTGCTGTGGATTCCCCAATAACTCCCCTGAGCCTAGAAAAGAGCTGCTGCATTTGCACATTGCAAGCTCTGTTCCTCCGTGCTCTCACTGCATTGCTGGATGTCTCCATCTGGAGGATATTTTTAGACTTCACACTGGCAAGAAACTTTGTAAGTGTGGCTGCTTTGTCCATGTCATGCTCACATAATGAACCTCTTGTTTCATTCAGCTAGAGCTGTAGACTTCAAAACACGGCTGGAAAACCAGTCATTGCCTTCCTTTCCAAAGCAAAGTCCTCCAGAAAGGCAACTGCTGTGGATAACTGATATCACAAAGCAACAGTTGCAAATATTACCTTCTACTTTACATTTTTATGCCTACTAAAAGTACTGATACTGGTCTTAAGATGCAGCTGCCTAATGAACCATTCAATGGACAGATTTTTCTTCTTTCTAAATCTGGCATCTCCAAAGATGAATGAGCCAAATTCTTACTGTAACAGTTAATCCTCAGAAATGTCTCTTCCTGCTAATCCTCTCTCTTGACCTGTTCTGGGGCTGGTACACGCTACCAGGTAGAAATGAGTGTCCTTATATTTCAGATATGCATTTGGTGTTTGTGGAGTCATTAAACTTTCACTTACTCCACAAGGATTTCAGCAAGCTACTAATGTTCTCCAACTGGTCAAAAGCAATCAGCTGAACATGAAATCACAGGTTTTGTCTGTAATCATCATGTCAGGATCTTGCTGTTGCATTCTATAGAGACAGACATGCCTGAATTGAAAATGTGAACATATTGAGTGAAAATGGAAAATTATATTACTTTTAACAAAAGAATACATTTATTAAAAAATGTTTTCTACAAGAAAACAGCATCTACTTGATATTTCTCATGGTTATTTCTTCCTGTTGAGAACAGTTTTTCTTTCCTGGCATTATTATCTATCATGCAATAAGGATAATAGATGAGCCCTGACATAATTCAAGAATCAAATCTGATCAGGGCAATCTAATGACATAAAATGAAAGAACAGCCTCTTGAGGGATTGTGACTTCAAGCCTGAAGTGGGATACAGTGGCTTTATTTTGTTCATATAATGCCCTCTCCTGCCACCAGTATAAAGGATTAGAAAGTTCTTTTGCACAACATCTTTTGCTTACCTTTGAATTCAACCTGATATTGTAACAGTATTGCATCTGAGATGAAGTGATGCTTCTGAGATCTTCCAGAACGTTTGGTCCTCTCTGCACTTTATCAGAGAAGTCACCCTGAACTCTCACACACAGCCACGCACATATACGCAAACATTTTCACACCTGATCTCAAGAAAAATGCTGATTTTGGTGCAGAACTGGAACGGAAATGGTGTTCATGTGAATTTATAAGTGTGGCTACATACTGTAAGTTTCTAGAGGAAAAAGCACCTGCTGTTTTAGCACATAAGCAGTAGGCAATGTGGTCTTGTTCTGCAACTACAGCCGAAAATTGGTCAGAAGGAGCCGTGGAACAGTACCCATACCCATTTTGCTTTTCTCCTAGCTAGGGTAAGTTCAGTCTGTTACGTCCAGCACACAGCACCTGGGTTGGATGGGCTCTGCAGGAGTGTGAGCTCCTGTTCGGTCCATACACTCACAGCATGGATTCACTTGGGCAAGGTTCAGCTTAAAATTCTTTTGATGGCCCAAGCCTTGTGGAGGGGAGACATCCTCATCGTGTTTCGATTTTGTTGTCTGTGTACACACTCTCGGACAAAATGGTCATACCTGTGTTATACACAGACTTCAAAGCTACAAATGCAAAGGTAAAAGGTACATCTAAATACACAAAAAAAGTCTGAAAAAAATGCCTCCCTTCCCTGGTTTGTTTGGGTCCCTTGTCCTCGCTATTTAAAACTAAACAGTTCAGTGAGAGATGTGAAGGCCAAATGCAGCTATTTAAAACAGTAACTCTGGTCATATCAGTCTTACTAGAAAACCTGACAGTAGAAGGATTAATAAGAAAATTGTCCTTTCTGAATATCAGTGATCAGCATAATTGTAGGATGGGTTGGGGATGCCGATATGCTGAATTTATAACATTTTACACTTCTCAGTGGAAGACTGTTCAAAGCCCTCCCTCCTGAAAGCTACTTCATTTTCGCAGAAGTTCGGCTCCGGGTTATCTTCTACAGCCTTGGCCGGTGTTGTATGGGTGAGCTGCACGCTGTTCGACGCTCACTTGAGTGCTCCTGACCTCGCCCTTAGCAATCAATTCAAGCGACTGCAATATATTCAGCACTGGCTATCAGCAAGCAAAGCATCAGATAGTGCTTGCTATTGCCTCATTATACAGTACCCTCCCTACAAGAAGTTGATACGAAGGTGTAGCAGTCTGATCCTCAGCAGAGATCCCCGTCCTTTGCTGCTGAGCAATAAACCCCCCATGCTGTCAAAGCAGGACTTGCAGAGATGGGTACGGTAATGATATGTCCATCTTTGTTGGTACTCTGCACCATCTTGTGGCTAGCAGAAAAACACCAGAATAGCCTCTGGATTATTTCACTTGTTTTTTATGTGTTTTTCCTAATGAAAAATACAGATTGTCAGTGTACACAGATACAATTTGGGGCTCTTTGTGCAGCTGAAATGGATGTCTGCAGGCTAGCTTATGAACCAGCAAAAGGGAAGACCATCATTACTTATAAGTAGGTTGTGTGCAGGTCCTGTAGGATACATAAATTACCTATCTGTAGAAGACTTGCTTGCATTTCCATGTATTTGGAACAAATCAGATATTCTAGGTCTTAAGTATGGAAAAATAGTTAAGAATATCTTGATCCAAATGATCTCTGTTGGTCCAAGAAATGTTTCTTATTGATCATTAAAGCTTTTGTCGCATTCTCCTGCAATTCCTTTGCCTCTTTCAAAGGAATCTTTTTAAACAGAGTTACAGGTTTCATTGTTGTTGTTAGTAACATTGTCTTCATTTGAAAGTTCATTTGCTAAGCCCATATCTGCTTTTAGAGGAGAGAGATGGGATCATGCCTGATCTGATTTGGGATTGCCATTTCTTATGCTCCTCTTCCTGCTCCCAATTGCGATTCGGGAGTTTCCAACAGGCACTTGTTACATTCCCCCACGGTAACACAGGGCAAGCTGGGTGAGCACCAAGGATTGCAACGCTCCTCACAAGTCTCCCTTTTTTAAACAGAAAAAATGGCCCCACAGGCGGGGTCCTCAACCCTTGCCGCTTCGCTGCAGGAGGATGATGAACAACTTAGCAGACGCATGATGGCCAAGAGGGTTAAAATCATCGCAGAACTTGTGCAGACCGAGAAAGACTATATCAGTGACCTGGATCTCTGCATCAAGGAAGTGATTCAGCCCCTGAGGAGCAAGCAGGTGAGCACTGGTGGTGGAGAACAAGGTGGTGATGTAAATCTCTTAATGTACCCACGTTCTGCTTGCAGGTAATCTTGATGCAAGCACAAGTGTCAGCATGAGAGTGACATGGTGCTGGGAGCGGGTCCAGAGCTAGCTTTCTGGAAAGAGATGTGTCAGTGCTCTAATGAGGAGAGTGAGAAGTCAGATACGCTCCTGATGCTTGTGCTGCACTTGCATAAAGTCTGCGTCAAGGTACTTGCCCAGCTGGCAGCTCGAATGCTGTATCCCTGCTCATGGGCTGCAATACCAGCTTCCACCTCTCCATACTGCTCTGTAATTATACCCCCTGGTATATTCCCTGGCAGACTTTTACTGGCACCTCCAAAACCAGTAAAAAACAATAAAGCCATGTATTTTCCATGATAACAACCTCAAATAGCATGAATGTCCCCATCGTTAAATCTGGTCATAAAGATAACTTTATCCAGCCTCTCACACAGATGTGGTGGAGAAATACCATGCCTGACAGACCAGTGAGAACTTCAATTTGCATTCTACACAGAAAAGGCACATTTAAGAAGGAAGGCTCATAAACTATATTTCAGGCAAAAGATCTTATTAGGCCAATGATACCCATTTTCTTTTTCAGCTGAGACTTCAAAGAGCACCTTTTCCTCAACATTATTCCAATTTGTAGAAAAATTGTGCAGCTGAAGGCTGGGAATAAAAGAGGTCGTCTAGAGAAAAATTAGTATTTTTGGGGCCTGCAATGTAGCATTCACAGCGGCTGCACATTGTTATGCCTCTTCAGGAAACGCTGTGGCCAGCTGAAGCCTGTGCTGCTTAAGCTCCTGCAGGACATCTTTTCTTCATTAAAACTCTGTTAGTGTTTTCAGAAGAGCTGGCATCTGCTGGCATAACTTTAAGGGGTTCTTGACTTTTTCTTCCTCCTCACCTGTTCAGCTGCTTAGTAGTGGTCTCCACTTGACTCCCTCCCCAGCCTGGCCAGCACTGAGCAAGAATGTTCCCTGGTTGAACTCGCTGAGGTTTTTGACAAGTGTGCGCTTTTCCAGTCAACAGAAAACAAACATTTCAATTCTGTCCTTTGTCATTGTATTAATGTGTGTAGGTCTCCATGCACAACATAGTTCAAATACTGTGTAGGCATTGTGCTGGAGCAGGGTTCAGAAGTCCTGTGTTAGATGTATACTGGAAAAGTAATTTAGAGATTATAACTGTCTTAATTTAATAACCTCTGCATTTTTGAAAGGCTTTCAAGAATGTTATATGGTTTTAAGGCTAGTTCTTGGATAACTACCATACTGAAAGTTTGTAATGTGTTTAGAGAAGGATAGCATTTAGCAAATTGACCTAGCAATGAATCCGTTTCATATTTCCAAATGGATAAAACATGTTTTAGCCCTTACAATACTTAAAAAGAAATTAGCTGCATTAGTACTGAAAGTGTATTTCTGATTCTGTTACAATAGCATGCAATTTGATCCTCGTGGCATCTGGTAAGCTGCTATGTAAGTCAGCAATTCTTTTTCTAATGGAGAGATAGGTTCAGAGGGTATCAATATGGATACCAAAATCCGTCTTACCTTTGTTCTCAGAATTAGCACATGACCACTGGCTATCTCCTAATTATCCCTGAATATTAGCTATTGCCCTGCTGTGCAAGAAAATTAATAACTACTGCACAAAATGTATATGTCCTGGGAATTTTCTACTTGCTCTGAAATTAGTTAGGAACATGGAACCAAATTTTCTATTGTTGTAAATTGATGCAGTTCACTGAAGTCAATGTTGTGCAACCAGGTTCTACAGGAATCTCCTGAAGTTATATTAATATATAACATAAATGTGTTTGGTTTAGTGGAGATTATATGACCTTGACTGTATTTTTGGATCCATGGGACAACTAACTTAAAACAGTAACACCATCTGGAAGTCTTTGAACCTGGTGGTCAGCACCAGATCACCAAGATCTCAGTTTATGTAATGGCCTCTGTTAGCAACTAGTCATCAGGGAATCAAACCCACTGGCAAATATTCTTTTGCTCAATGGGAAAGTAAACAAACATTTTAAAGCCAGCTAAGGATCTTTTCTTTATTTAGATGATGATAATATTTATTTCCTTCCTAGGTAAACACTTTCAGATTAGGAGTAGTTCAAAATAAGATTAAAAGCACTTGATAACATGCCCTTTTTTCACTGCGTCAACCATATTATACTAATATGAAAACTGTATATGTGTCCTTGAAGTCACAAGGAGGATGTTTATACGAGGTTTTGCAGAAGTGGTGCTTCCTGGAGTGTTGAACACTCAGAGTATAGCAAGAGAAGGTCCGTAATACACAATGTCCTTCTTTATCCTTTCTCAGTAGATGCTTAATATTTGTATTCCATTAGATTGCTCGTTTTGACGTGGATGGCTTGTTTAGCAACATTGAATTGGTCCATCAAGTATCAGCCAAACTGCTGTCATTGTTGGAAGAAGCCACGACAGACGTGGAACCACCCATGCAAATAATCGGTATGTTTACTGTCCTCTTGAGTTCTACAAAAGTACGTGAAAGAATAAACAGAACACTCTCCTGTCCTCTATCCCCATCAGACTTAACTGCTACCACTCCCAGAGGCTAATGTGCTACAAGCTGGCTGTAACGACACAGGAAAAATGACATGTGAAACCTGTGCAATTGCTCTACTGTACCTGTATGATCATGGTGCTCTTTTTCCATACATCTCGATGTTCAGGGAAAGGAAGGAAAGAGGGAGTGAGTTTAGCATGAGTAAAAACTGCAGCACTGAGTTATGCCACATACTGATAATATGCTTTTCATCTAGTTCGATATTGCCTGCTTAACTCTGCTTGCCCTTACACCAGCTCTTTTATCGAGTACTCATTATTATGCCATTCAAGCAAAGCATTAAAAATGATCAGAATAATAAACATGTCACAACTCCACCCTGCCCCCAAACATTGTAAACGGGTATCTACTTGTGATACAATTCGTGTAAGAGGTGGTTGGGAGTGCTTAGTGGGGACAGGGTCAGTAAAGGCAACAAAGTTATAATTGATACAAAGTTTGACAGCATGAAGGCAGGAATGTTTGTAGGGATCATGGGTGTGTTGCCTCATCTAGTTGAGAGGCGTCCCTGCCCATGACAGGGAGGTTGGATTAAATGATCTCTAAGGTCCCTTCCAACCTAGGCCATTCTAGGATTCTGTGATTCTATTTTCAGCAGATTGGATGGTCCTGGATATGTCGCAACAGTCACACGTTCTGCAGGTCAGGCCATGAATGTTCAGGCTGTGATCTATTCACTTGATACTCTGGCACAGCTGGAGAGATTTAAGAAATTACCACTCATCAGCTCTCCTGTAACTGCTTCTTCAGTGCAGAGGCAGTAGGTGAGCCACCTTAAGGGATCAAGCAAGAATTCTTATTTTACTTCAGTGCAAAGTCAGTGAGTTTAGTTTAAAAACCTTCCAGCCATGATCCAGAGGTCAGAGAGGTTCTTTCTTCCCTAAACTGACCATATACCACAGGTAACATGCTACAGAAAGGACCCCTCTTCTCACAAATAATGAGGTTAAAAATCGTGGGTTGACATTTGAATAAGAAACATGATATTAAAGCATATGAGTCTTGCGAAAAGTATTAATCCTAGCACGTCTCTGTCTGGTTTGCCAAGGCAACAGCTTAACGTAGTTTGATGCATCTGTGGTTTGGTGGTATTTAAAAAAAAGTGCATCATGATGAGTCATACCCTTAATAAGCAATGTTCTATTCTAGCAGGAAGTGCCTTTCTCACAGCCAAGAGAATCATCATTTTAGTTCCCTGCCACATCCAGAAGTAAAGACAAACAATTTAATCCATTAGGCTGTAGTTTTCCAGAATCTGAAGTTTTAGGATTGTGGATCACAGAGTTGGATAACTTATGGTAAAAAGAAAAAGATGGCAAGTAAGGTGTGAGATGTTCTTGCAAAGGCTGAGACAAAAGCAGGGAGAATAATTACATCACTATAAACAATAACTTAGTAAGTTTTTCATCCTCTAAAAGGACATCAAGGTGGTAATTTTGGATCTTCATAATCATTGAAAAGTTATTAAAGCTAGTCTATAGCAGGCTGAGAATGTTTAACACATCTATCATATTCTGTCATGTTATTTAAACATCTTGCACTGAAGTATTTTACTTTGGAAGGCAACCCAGTCACAGTGAGGTTGAGGAGAACGGCTAATTCACTGGTTTAAAACCAAAACAATGTAGTTGCTCATATTCATATTTTATTTTAGTCTATATTCTTCACATCTTGTGCTATGTCCATATTGACAAGCAGTAACATCCAACAGGAGCACACTTGTAGAGTGAAATGGTTGCTGCTAAGGACCTGGTATACATACTTCACATTTCAAGAGGTCTTACTTCATATTGGCTGTAGCTTGTTCCTGTGGATTGAGAGATGCCCTTTATGGTCAGACTGCATAAGACATGTCCTCGGAGTGCATCTTCTGGTAATGTCCATCCTCAAAGGGATCCAGTCTGTGTGTCTGTGACTGTTCCACTACACAACCAAGGCAAAGGAGATGAGGACTACTGAGAGACAGGCTTCAAAAGCACTCTCCTAATCTGAGCTAAAATGCTAATGTATGTAGATGGATCTTTCGTGGGACTTGGTCATCTGATGCTAAACATTGCTGAGGTTAAATACTCTTTCTAGTTTTCTCCTGTATTTTTTCTCCTTTCTGTTCTGCATACTGTATATGGAGGAATATAAAGACTTATTAACCTTACTGTGGCTTTACCTATTAGATCCCTTCATCTTTCCCCTGCCAGTGCTGTCCACACAGGAAGCACCACTGAAAGCCATGGGGAGAAACTGCTTCTGTCATTCAAGCCTTCCCCCTAGGATTTTCTTTTTGAGATTGATGACCACAACAGTTAAGAAGAGGCATCAGGCAGGTTTGCATCTGTCAGAGGGCACAAAAAACTCCATATTTTTAAAAATGTGCCCAAATACAATGTGGTTTTTTTGCGAGCTCCCACAGCGATATGTCCAAGGCTCATCTGATTCGGTCCATATGGCTCAGAACCAAGAAGGGATTTAGGCTTAAGAAATCCATCTGCTTTTAAAAGGCCCTATTATATGCTGTGAAATCAGCATATAATATGTCTCATCATTGAGCATCAATGAAAGTATCTCTCATTGTGGCACAATGCATCAATGAACAGCTCTTGCTCATCTCTTCCAATCTGGAAAACAGAATGATAATTTCCAGCTTCTAGTATATACTGAAATGACCTGTAAGTCTACAGCTTGCATTTTTGCCACTGAAAATGCAACTTCACTTGAGGGCTTAGCATAGTACAAGGTGTGCTAAGCACTTGAGTTCCACTTAAAGTCAGTGAAAATTGCGAGAGCTCAGCATCTCTGAGAATCAGGCACCAAAGGCGCAGGATCAAGAGAAAGTTTGTTAAGGTTTCTTCTTACACCATTGGCTAATAAAGGCCTGCATGGAGAGTTCATGTGAAAGTCAGGATGCAATGTGCATTGGTAGCCATCAGCATCAGCATTATGCACAAGACAGAGAAAATGGACAGATAAAGAGCATTTAACTATAAGATGCTGGTGCTTTTCTGACTGTGGCTTTATGGTAACTAAAATGAACTTGTGTGGTCTTGGCTCTGTCATTGTTCCCCTATTTGCACCTTGAAACCAACATACATTAGGCAGCCCAGTTAACCTTCACTGCTAGGGGGAAAAAACCCAGAGCTGTGTTACTGTGGTAACTGAATCATTTTTTAGCGGTTCAATGCAATGTATTATGAAACAGCCCACTCCAGTCAGGATGAAACATGCAGGATGCCTGGCAGCTTGGCACTCACTCTGAATGAATAGAGAGCGCCCAATTAATGTGGTGTTCAGCTTTTAACTTCAATAATCATGGCTATAACTCAACAGGAATATTTATAAAATACTGCTCTGGTTGCCACATAGATGTAATTTTCAGTAAATGCCCGAGACAGGAGTTTTCACCATTGCTATTGTTTATTATATGCATTTCCAAGGATGCTGATCAGGGCACTGCTGTGGAAGGGTGTAAGAACCGAATGACTATGTCAGCAGAATAGTTGAAGCATGCCTTCTGTGTTCAGATAATATTTCTTATATACATAGAAACTGACACAGGAGTTTTAGGCTGAGAGAAATAGGCACCAGAATCAAGTGGGAAATGGACGCAGGACTGTTTTAGTGTCTCTAAAATTCCCAAGCATTCTTTGGGGGAAAACGGTGGTGTGAAGGACTGGAAATGGAAATGTTTTCCCCCTTCAGTTGTATATAAACCTAGGTACTATATAAAAATGTCTGTAATCCATGGTGTTTTTATTTAAGCAGGGGAGGGGTGGAGGTTGTTCCTCTGTCATGTGAAGAAAAATCTCTATTCTAGGCCATAACAATTGCCATTTCAGGATTTTGCAAAATATATAAAAGTGAAATGGCTAATGGGAGATAGAGTCATTATTCTTGTTATAACCCATTTAAGTTCATATTCAGTTGAAAAAAAAGTCAAAGGGAAAATTAGCAGTCTTATATTCATCTCTGCTGCCAGCTCATGACACAGAAATGGTCTCCTGTGTGGTTTCCACTGAAGGGGCATTAAGCTGGGGCAGTGAATTAGGTGGTTGTGTGTGAAGGAGTGTGAGGTGTAGAGATTTCATGTTTTTTCCTGAAGGAATTTCTGTGCATTAACACTGATATAATGGTGCCTGGCTATGACAAAGATGAGCAGCTGAGAAATACATGTAATAAATAATGCACATAAACACGCAAGATCATTTCTAAGGGAAGTAAAGTGAAAGCCAGGCTTTTTAGCTCACGGCTAATGTGGTGGAATAATAAAACTCCTCAGATGCTGTTGTCTGGCTTGACACGCTTTGTTTTTCTCCTTAACAGGGGAAGTGTTCTTGCAGATTAAAGGCCCACTAGAAGACACATATAAAATCTACTGTTATCGCCACGATGATGCACACACCATGCTGGAATCCTATGAAAAGGATGAAGAACTGAAGCAGCATTTAAGACACTGTGTACAGTCCTTAAAGTAAGATCTTTTCAAATGATGATTTCCATCCATAGTCAGTTGCCTGGCAGGGAACATTTTAAATGGATGTAGATGAAAGGTCCCCTGTAAATCCGGAGTTTTATGAGGCTTGCTGGGAGCTCTGGCTTATGCTACTTTCATGAAAAGATGACAAGCCAGGGGCCATGATTAGATTTCTTTCTCTCTAAGATGGCCAAAAATAGCACAAGAAAAGTTGCTCTTCCCTTAGCTTCAGTGCCCCATACTGGCAAAAAAAATGCTGCATCATATCATGGGCTATTGGGAACACCGTGCCCAGCTCCCAGGAAACTTGCTCCCTCCACCTTCAGCAATTCTATTGCTTGAATTAAAATAGCCTGTAATGGAGCTATTCACACGCACTATCATTTCTGGGCTCCTGTTGCAAGGCCCCAGGGATCTGGAGTGGCTGTGTGGTGTGGGACCCCTCATGATGGGGGTATTTGAAAGCAATCAGCATTGGACCAAGCTTCTAAGACCCACAAGTGGAAGGTGCTGGAGGACACCTGTCAGCCCCTGGAGGAAATGCTTCAAGAACTGGGAATGCTGCAGAATAATGAATCCATCTTTCCTCCAGTGCAGCTTCCTCCTGCAGCCAGTTGTAGGAACCAGCTAATTCACTTCATGGGTGAGCTTTTCCCACCTAAAACTCCCCTTGCCCCCTCACTTTCCCAAAAGCATCATACAGAGCTGTCAGGAGGGAATGGACCATGGTGTTTCGGGTCAGAGGTCTAGCTCTGGAGTGCGCATCAGCAACAGATATTTCAACCACACCTCAGTTAGTGATTTCTCTGCAGAGACATGTTAAGACTTAGGAGATGGGAAGTAAGTCCAAGTGAAATCTGGAACGAGTGATGGAGGAAAATATTAATAATAGTAAAAGAGAAATGTTCACTTTGAAGACAGGTTATGCTGAAAATAAGGCTTATTTTGTACAGCTATTAAATACATAACAAAGTATATGTGCAGGGTACTTAGGTTTTTAGCTACCCTGGAAGTTTATATTTTCATATAAGCTCTGGCTTTTGGGCTAATGGTTGGCTAGGTATCTCCCCTAAAGATGTGGTTTAGTAGCTGAGGTCTACAATATTCTTTTCCTGCTAAGCAAGAGAAGCTGCTACTGTCATTCATTCATCCCTGCTGCTGATGCAAGGAGACATGGAATAAAAATAAAAGATAGTGTCCACATACATGCTAAGTGGATGCTGCTACTTGAATTCCAGAGCCAGCAAGAAGAGCTCCTGTTCCAACATAACAGCTGAGATTTGTGAAGAGAAAGGATATTTTGTGCTGAGCCATAGTAGCCTTTACTAGCAGGAAGTGACAAAGCCTTCCTCACAATGAAGCTTTGTTTTGTCTTGTTCTTTCCTGATTAGCCTTTAAACAGGAACCAATGAGAAAAAACACTGGTGCATGTATACTACATTGCGTTTGTTCCCAGTGCCTGAAGACTGCAGCCAATTCAAATATTAAGACCTGAAAGTGCACACACAGATGCAGACCTGTGGTCACCTAAACGTGTTACTACTGATTGGAGAATACTTGCCCTAGGAAGAAAACTTTGCAGCATTTTTATCAAATAAATAATAGGCTGTTTTCCACTGTGAGGCATAATAAATGTGAGGACTGGTGACAACTAGTCTTAAAAACTGTTTACTTCTTAATAATTCTTTTTTCCTTGGAAATAGTACTATTCTATTTGTTTCAAATTAAAATGGGCTAACATTACTAAGGGCTTTTATTCCTCAGCCACACAATATCTGCCATGTGAAAAAAAACTTCTCTATCAGAAGCAATTTGAGAGGGGCACTCTGCACATCTGTACAGACAAATCAGATTTAATTAGCCACGCTGAGGTCCCTAGTCCTCCTGTTGACTGAAGAGAAGAAATTCCATCCCAAAATGTAGGTATCTGCCTTGGAGACATACGCAAATCCAAATTCTGTGGAGTCCCTGTTTCAGCAGCAATTATGCAAACTGGGGATGTTGTTAGCTAGCTTAGCCAAAGAAATGCAGCTGGTAAAAATGAAAGGATGCTGGCTGGCAGCTACCTGCTCTCCTTTCAGCCTGAAGTAGCTTGGTCAACTATTACAGGGGCAGAGGGACGTCATAGGCATGCAAAGTGCTGACAGTGCAAAAGCAATGAAAGCACCAACTTCCAGATGCTCAGTTAGGCACCGGTGGGCAAGAAGATAAGAGCGCAGGCAGTTAAAAAGCAGTAGCTGACGATGTGATGTCAGGAAAGCCTAATGCACAGATGGAGCAGCATTTTGGTTCCCTTGCGTTTGAGTGAATTCATACCATAAGGAACATATTCTGTGTGCGTATTTGCATGTTTCCAAACTAGAATTGTACATCCCTGCTGTTTTCGGTATATGTAAAATACCATTGTACTCTGAAAAGGTTTCGGTTGATGTGTAGCCTACAAAAAACTTAACAGCTCCATTGATTCTATATCCTAAAATGCTGAAATGTGTTCTTTCTCATTTAGAAATACATTTCTGTTTAAAGAGTGTAGATGAGAATGTACATGAAGTGTAAGAATGACATGTTTAATTTTACTTTTTGTATTAAGGACTTGATGTTACTTACCATCGTTAGCACAGTGACCCAGACTTCCTCTTCTAACAGTGTTAGGGCAAGGCTGGCTTTAGCCAGAGTCAGGTTTCTGATAATCCTTTCTCATTTAGGGCTGTCCTTTCAAAGAAATATAGGGCCAAATTCACTGGTATCCTCTGGCTGTTTTGCGCAGTTCTGCTAAAACACAGCAGCCATAAACCTAAGTTAACTGGCCAGTTATGGGTGCTCTGTGTCACTGAAGTGTGTCTGAGAATCTGGCCACTGATCTGTATAAATCCTTTTAGGAGGGTTCTAATATATGTTCTGTTTTCTTCTCTTTTGCAGAAAGATATATGAGGAAGAGTAAGTACTGTGCCTTTCTTACACATAAAATAATCTTTAAAATATCTTTAATTCATCTTTAGTATGCTTAAAACTATACATGTGGAAATTTTAAGATCACAAGCCTTTTGTGTCAGTATAACCCATAGACTTTTCCAGGATACGTGATACTGTCAGTTTTAATTTCCCTAAAGCTGTCTAGTTTTCTAATTACCACTGCACTAGCTTTGCAGTATCTTTCAAAACTTGTGGTTTATGAAGCTACTTAATTTGATGCCAGTTCATTGAGAGCCCGTTATTATCACCTCGCTGTCTCATGAATGTGTGTAGAAAGCTCTAAGGTCTTCAAGAGTGCTTGGTGACAACATGTTGTCAGTCCCTGCAAACCAGACACTCTGGTAACAATACATGTTACATTCACAGGTAAAGCTACTTCTAGGGTGATGACCCCTTCGGTAGCCCTATATGAGAAGTCCACCTTAGGATCTTCCCCCTGACAGTGGCTGGAAGAGCATCAGAAAAGAACAAGCTCATTGTCAAGAACACTCACCCAGCTGCTGATAACTTGCAGTTAAGGGTCTTCTATGCCAAATGTGCTATTTTTGAAAAGCTATAAAGGAGAGTTTATCACAGCTGCAGTTTCTGGACATCCAGCAGGTTGAGACCATTGAAATGCAGCATCTCGTGAAGTTACCTGCAGAGAGAGGTCAGAGGAGGGGTTAGCAGAACTGAAGAAAAATACTACAATCCCAGACAGAAATGTTAACAGAGAAAAGAGAAGCAAGTATGCTCTATATTGGTAGGAGAGGAACACCTGTAAAGTCAGCAAATTTGTTAATTAGTCAATCAATTGCATGTCATAAATAAGATCAGTGTAACATTCACTTAGAAGGATTTTCATGTTGAAATTCTACAGTTTGTGATGAGAAATAGTTTTTCTGCATTTTGTTTTGGTAAGGCACATTCTTGTATACTGTCTCCCACGGAGAGGGTCTCAAAAAGAAACAAAATATGCAGGAAGACACAGTAAAATCATGTGAGACAGCACACATAGAAATAGCACAAGACTGGCTGCTCTGCTTTGCGTAACCCTATCAGAAATGAATGCTGAGTTCTCTCCTTCAAACAGTTTCCAGTGGAGTGTAGGACACAACTTGCTTTCTGAGTTTAAACCGGCTCTTCCAAAGCTGTGCAGAGTGCAGTCAGCCAGGTTTAACTGCAGGACCCTCCCCGAGCTTGGCTGCATTTCACAGCGTGGTGGCGTTTGCCTTGCCCACTGACCAGCAGGGCTCTCAGAAATGCAATCACCTGCAGCTCAGCTTAGAGCTTGCACAGCAGCCCTTGGGCAGGGCCGCACCCAAAAATCTGATTAACATTGAACTGGAAAATACAGCGTAACTCACCCACTGATGTTGCTCTTCCCAGACTGCCTTTCATTCAAGCATGATCAAAAAACCAATTACATAAATACCAGACAGTGCTGCCCTTTGCTAGCAGCTTGATGGGTTAAATTCTGCTTGGCTTAACAACTGTGCGGCCTCAGTGAATTCCCTGGGTTTGCATGAGTCTTGCAGCACAGTGAATTACTTGCCCTACATGTCTTGTACTAAAATGAACTTGTAAACCATGGAACAGTAAACCATGAAGCCTGAGACTTTGAGTCGTGCTGTAGTCTGTGACGCCTGCGCACCATTTCCAAACGGCCAAGCTGAATATGACACTGGCCTCGGCCCTGCCACACTATACTCTAGGCCATTGTGTGTACCACTGAACCTAGTTGCCGGGTGATGAGAGTCAATGAAATTAAGCCCCGAATCCCCTGTCTTTGAATAGCTCACTACCATGTGTTTTTCAAACAGGCAGGAATCTTTCTGCATTTGTGACTGTTTTCTTGGGAGGAAGGAGAAAGGGGATGCTGAGAAGCTCTCTGCAGTTAAGCCAGCTGCATTTACTGCAGAGCTACAGAAATAATTTGCGGTGAGATTAGTACAGCTACATGTGACCTAGAATACTTAAACACAGAGGGAAGGCTGAGGCAGCATCACAAATGAATTATCAACTTAATTTTCTGCACAATAGATGTCACCTGCCATTACTCGCCTCTTTTGGTCGTGTGGCAAGGCCATGTCCTGCCCGGCAGCTGGGTGAGTCCTAACGGGGCTCATTGCAAATGGGACTCATCCAGGGAGAGTGGCTATCATCAGCTAATCTTGCTGGGGAGAATTAGATGAGTTGAACTTTGTGGCATTTAGTGCCCCGGGGAGTCATTATCTTATAACAAACCTACTATCTCTGAAACCATATTGCGAGACTGTGCCATGCAGATATGCGAACAGAGGGCTGTTTATCACTTGGGCAGCTGTCCAAAGTGCAACTATATAAAGAGAAGACACTTGAAGATTTTTCCATTCATGAGGCAGCTTTTATAGATTTGCATTCATGGGGCTTTTCAGAGAAAACAATAACAATTAAAGATATTTTTTTTCATTATTGCTGCCAGAAGCTGAAAGAAGGGAAAATAGCTCTCTATATTTAATGTAGGATACAGGGGAAATGAGGGGGATTGAAATGATGAGGTTTGGGGACGTTAAGAAGCCTTAAAAGGCATCTACTGTTAATTTTTTTCATGCAGAACTTTTTTACAGATACTGCCTGTGCAAGAGAGATGGTTTAAATATGCAGATGTCTCTTCTCAAAGGCATTCAAATTGTTAGTTAATTAGTCAGCTCTTGTACTTTTTAAACATATAAAAGTGGGAATGAAAGCTTTTTTTTTCTCTTTTACTCTTTCTGCTGCACAAACCAATAGATGTCAGTCTGCAAAACCAACTGGTTGTTCCCTGTTTTTTTTACTTTTTTTACTTTCCTTCTACATTGTGTTATTCCATCTTTCCATATGCAGAAATCCTTCTTTGCCTTCTCTGCCTACTATTAACTCTTCCATAGATAATGAACCTTTTCCTCCCAAAGCAGCCTTTTTGGGCATGTGAATGGAAAGGTTGCTCTGCTTTACTGCCCTTCACGCTGTTACTGACAGCTGATGCTTAGTTTCAAAGGGGAGGTCTGTGAGTCACAGGTAGTTCATGCCAGCACTGGTGCTAGAGTGTTGCCCGGTTTGCTCGTGGAACGTGCTGTAATGAGGAGAGGCAATGGATGTGTCTGTCCTGCTGCTGGAGCCTCAGTAGTGGCGGGTCCTGACCCTAGGGCTTGGCCACCTGATGTTACCTATGCTGGGCCCCCATGTTTCTAACAGCCCTGTGGAAGGTAATGAAGGCACATGTGGCTTGGTCCTGCCCTTCCCTGTTTTCTTCCAGGTTGTTGGGTCAGCCTGAAAACTGCCCAGCCTCTCCGCTTCAAGCCCAGAAAGGGTGACCAAAGGCTTTTGTCTGGAGTGGGGCTGGGGCGTGAATTCAGCTGGCTAGTAACTCCCTTGCATGGAGGCCAGAGAGCTTGAGCAGCCTTGATGGCCTGAGCCACTTGGATACCTGGGGAAGCTGCTCTGCTGCCCTGCTGGAGGCAGCAGTGATTGACCTTGGAGCCACAGAGCATCGCCCTGTGCCCACACTGGATGCTGTGACATTCCTACCCTCATCTTTCTGCCACCCTAGCCTGCTGCCTGCTTTGCAGTTGTGTAAGGTGACTTCCAGCAGGGTGGATCAAGCCTGTGTGAACATCCTGTATGTTCAGCATTTCCCCAGGCCAGTTCTGGTTCCCTTTTGGAAGCTTGGGCAACATTAGATACACCCTACTGGCAGCCAGCAAAGAAAAAAGTAAAGCTCAAGGGTCACTGTGGGGAGCTGAGAGATGTTGTGAGAAGGGATGCAGCCGTGAATGGGCATCCCAGTTGCTCGCAGCAGGGAGGTGTTGCAATTTTAAACCTGATGGACCAGAGTAGGATGTGATAGCCCTGCTCACATGTGTTTCTCAAGCTTCCTGTCATTTTTCCTTCCACCTACCTCTCTCATCCTGGTTGTTGTGGTGCAGGACTTGTACCACACGCACCCTCAGACTGCATGGAACAGCTTCTGAGGTACTGTCTAAGCAAAAGTCTGATAGGTTGCTGAAAATACAGAAAACTCAGATCTGCTCTGTATTTCTTGCTGAGGGGGTGAGAGGAGGGTTTCGTTTACAACAGTCCCTGTTCCCTGACAGATATATCTTATTTTTTGACTCAAGTAGTAATTGCATTTTTATGACTCAGTGCAAAGCACTGCTTTAGTTTTGATATTTTTTCTATAGTTGAAAGCTCAACTGAATGATATAAAAGTCAGCAGCTTCAATGACTAGACAGAAATAATAAGAAGTTTTTGTCTTTAAGGAGTTTCTTTGTATGTGACAATTTTTTTTTTAAATTATAGAGGAAAGTCAAATCTAACAGACATGGGATCCCTGATGATCAAACCAGTGCAACGAGTGATGAAATATCCCTTGCTACTCTGTGAACTCTTGAATTCAACTCCCGCTTCTCACCCTGACCACAAGGTGCTACAAGACGCCCTTTTTGCTATGAAGAACATTAATGTGAACATCAATGAGTTTAAAAGGAGGAAAGATTTAGGTAAGAAGAAGGCACAGTAAGTTATTCTCTCTTCGTAGGTTTGAGCTGTTGATTACGAGTGATGTTTTAACTCCAGTAAAATCACTACAACAATTTTGATGGGTTCTACCCAGCTAAATATGCTGGATTTCAAGAAGGCAACTGATGGCTTAATGTTACTTGTCCTGAGCTAGCTTTGTTACCTGACCAGTAACGGCAGAAGTATGAAAATTACGAAAGTATTCACATTATATCCATTTTCATTGTCCATAATGCAGCTGTGGACACTGATAATAAGTAATACGCAGTAATAGTATTTCTTATAGACTTGCCACGTTGAAGCCCTTACTTCACTCTTCCCAAGCCTGGTGTTGGTAACAGAGTTTTCATCATCTCAAGCATTTTCACACAAGATTACAGCAAGTGACATGAAAGTGTCTGCTCTCAAATGGTTTCACATTTGTGTGCCCATCCCTGTGAAAAGCTCTGAGAATACAGATTACTGGTGTCATGAAATTCTCTGTCTGCAGTGCTGAAGTATAAGAGGAATGATGATGATGAAACCTTTAAAGAAAAGTTTTCCCGACTGAATATCCACTCCATTAGCAAGAAATCCAAGAGGGTCACCAGCCATCTGAAAATACTGACGGGGGGAGAACCTCAGGTACTTACTCATCCAACTGCAGATTTGTATTGACAGCTTCAGTTCTGCTTTTGCACTGGGCATTTTTCAAAACATGTTGGAAATGGAGTTTGTGGTGTTGCTTTTTTTCTGCATCATTTATAAAGTCATTTTCTAACTGTCACAGAAGACAGGAAAGATCTTTGTGATTGAAACAGAAAATAACACAATGTGTTCCCCACCTTTTTTTACCTAAGAGTTTCTCAAACTTCTGATCTTCAGCAGAAAGTAAGTGACCGGTAGTTTTGTGAAATTCATCCTGTGATGAGCGCTTTTGCTAGAATAGCAAGTATTGTTGGTGATGAGAATGTGTTCAGTCCATCTTGCTCCACATCATAAGATTCAGGTTCTGAACCGCCAAAGAAGATGAACAATACTTCTGATTAGGAAAGGCCATGGGGTTTGCCTGTGCATGTGCAAAGGCCTGGAACTGTCAAAGCCACTAGAGGCAAAGAACCCTGTGCTAAGTCTGATGGGGGTTTCATGGCCAGAAATAAAACCCTCCTTCATAATTCTGAGGCTGTAATTCAAAACCTAGCAGGATAAACTTCTTCAGGAAAGCTTAAATATAAATCTCAAAGAAAATCAATTACAACTGACCTTGAAAAAGATATCCAGTGCACCTCACTGCATCAGATGACTGATTATACAAGGTCACTGCCTTTCTAGATGTGACTTTACAAGATATGTGCCGGGGTTTTTTCCTGTTTTGTTTTTTTATCAGTGGTTTCCCTCTTTCTCTGATGCAAACTACCCACATTTCTTTTTTTATGATCATTTATTTGTACAGTGGAAATTTTTGTATTCTGAATAGGACACTGGCAACACTATAAAAATCAGAGAAAAAACAGGGAATTAAATTTGAATAAGAGGAGACATGATTTTTCATTTTTTTTCTTTAGAAGCTTCTGGTTCATGTGTTGTTTTTTTTTTTTTCATAATTAAACTTAAAACATTTGAGAATAATTTAGAATCAGGATGCATCTGTTAAAGATTCAGCCCTCCCTCCTGCTTAATTAGACTAAGAAAGTTCCCAATTCTCAGCTCTGAAACATGCTCTGACCCTTACAGCAAGACCACTGAGAACAAGACTTGAGATTTCTCAAATTCCTCAGGTAAAAGGTAGGCAGAAATAAACATATTTTCACAGCATATAAAAGTAGTACAAGCCTATTTCCAGCCACTGAGGTTTCTAGCTGAAGAGCTTGGCGTTGCTCTAGAGGTAACAGCTCCACCTACAGCCTGCCTGGGGGAAATCTCCCCATCACCCACAAAAAAGCACCCAGGAAAGCAACGCAATGGCAAAAAATCTCTTACATAAATTTTTCACGATTGTTTCCTGAAACGCAGCAATGATAAAGCAAGTCCCTGCTTCCACATGGATTACAAATTAAATTCTGTCATGTTGCCCTGTGCCTTTGACTTTTCTTGGATTAAAACTGGAGCTTGGGAGAATCAGGGGCTGATCTGTTTTCAAAGGGAGGAGTTCAGGGAATGCTTGGGGTTTTTTCCAGCAGCACTCTGGCTGTTTCCTTCATTAGCCAGGCTCTTCTTGGGCTGCCAAAATAACAGTGCAAACATCTATTTTAGGTGAAAGATCAAAATTTTAATAAGGAAGAAAAGTTGTTTCGAAGTTTAGAGAAGACTGTGAAATTCTGTGTGAAGAACATTTCGCTCTCCTCACAACATCTACAGGTGGGTACAGGCCTTTTTGAAATCTGTGGCCACAAACCCTGTCCATAACCAGTTTAATACACATTTCTGCCACTGGTCGGGCAACACCAAACTGCAGGCCTGACTACATCACATTGTTAAATAAATGAGCTGGGCTGCAGCTGCTGCTGCATTACTGAGCCCATAGCAAAGAAGTTTTGAAGCCCATACTTCTGCATTTTTCCCCATATGCAAGCAGGCTCTGTGAAGACCCATGAGTGCAGTACAGAAAAAAAGGTACTGTCTAGTGTCACAGTTACAACTTTAAGTGGCTGTGTGAAGCCGTCGTATGGGTCATGCACATCTGCTGCCTGGGAACACCAACTGCCTCTCACTAAAAATGGAAGAACTGAGTTACAGTAACGTAGATTAAAACGTCCTAAAATACATGTTTTGAATATGAGGACTTCTTCCTTTTTCCTATTGCTAGGTTGTGTTAAGGGCTAGCATGAGGTCTACAGAGCACTCAAGTGCTCTTACTGTCTTTGTTTTAATCTTCCTCTTCCAAAGATGTCAGTTGGCTTGTAATTTAGCAACTTTTTGCTCTCACGGACAACTTGCCAGCTTTGTAGATGGCACGAGACCCTTCGAAGTGTAAGTGCGCCCAAACCCGTCGCTAATGCTGTTTGAGAGGGAGGTAAGATCGATAGCCAGCTGGCCAGAGCTTATCACACGTGCACCTCGTTTGGTTCAGCAAACAGGGGAAGGCCAGTGAGCTCAGCCAACATGGGCTGTTGCCTGGAATGGTGTTGACAGTTCCTTATCCAAACGGATGCTTTGTTAAGATTAAAATTCAGAGTAAGTGAAATACATAGCTGTAGTCCTACTTAGTCCCCCTGAAGACCCTCCATGGGTCTTGGGCTGGCTTCTTGCTGAGGAATAGCTAACTTCCATTCACTAGGTTGGGGCATATTTTTTTCAGTTGAACATCCCTTCCAGCCTAGGCCATTCTATGATTCTATGATTAACAACTTGAAAATAGACAAAACACTGAAAACAGGCATTGAAAATAGACAAAACAGAGGAAAAATATTATCACAATCTCCAAATGACTGGGAACTGCACAGAAACTGCACAGGTGTCAGGGATGGAAAGTATTTCTGATTCCCTCAGTATTACTCCAGTATCTGCATGAGAGAATGCAGTTTATTAAAACAAATTGTAATAACAGTTTCATTTTTCTACCATCTTCTCATTTAGGATTCTATACATCTGGCTGCACAGAATATAATCAAGCTTCAGGAAATCTTGCAAGACAAAGATGATGAAGTCAATGACTGTTTGAAAAAACAGAACACTGCAAATCTCTGTGAAGACCTTGTAAGTCTACGCAATATCTAGTGTTACAGAGCTATCCATATGTAAGAGAAAACAAGCGTATGTGAGGAAGAGTAGGACAGAAAAGAGCAAAATACCTTATGAAACCATCGGGAAAGATGAATACTATTTTGGTTGAGTTTCTCTAAGAAATAACATAAAATTCAGTGTAAGTGCACTCTGGTTTTGCTAGAAGAGCTACAGAAAATTTCTCAAACTAAATTCCTGGGTTTAAACTAAAATCTTTGTGTTTCACCTGAGCTTCAGACATGAGGTGATCCTGCTTTGGCAGGGGGTTTGGTCTACATGATCTTTCAAGGTCCCTTCCAACCCCTAACATTCTGTGATTCTGTGAAGAGTGGCAGATCTTCGCTTTGCTGCTGACACTTGCAGCTTTAGAGAGACTTCTGTGACCTTTGTTGTGCTTGTGAAAATCTCAGCTTTATTACCTTTTCAGGTGAGTTACTACCCTTCCTATAGGGAAACCATGAAAAATCTGAATATAGCCCACAGGAATTAAAAAGAAATTTTAAAAAAAAGGTAATAGTTTTTTAACCAGTCCTTGCTTTCAGGGTCCAGATGAACTCTAATGCCTGGTTCTGCTAAGATAGACTAAAATGTCTCTTCAAAGTGGAACAGGCTGCTTCTTCAAACAGCTCAAGCTGGAAAAATTCAGAGGTAGAGGTTTTCTTATACTTTCTTAGGTTTGTGCTGACTAAAATATAGCCATTCAGTTTTTTCCAAAACACTGAAAAGAGCCTGCCAAGAAACAGAAGGATCTTTGACAGACCACATCCTCCCAGATCATGACAGGGAAGCAAGATGTTGTGTTTCATAGAATTTTTTAGTTTGGAAAAGTCCTTTAAGATCAGTGATCCTTTGAAGTTTCCACATTTGAAAAGAATCTCACAAATTAATCTGAATAATCAGAAAGATATTTTCACTGTCTTTACAATAAATGGGTGCAAAAAGTGCAGAAGAGTATCCCTCTATTATTGCATTAGGTGAGCCTGTCTAGTATGGGAGGTGCCCCCATATTTAGAAACATCAAAGAAAGAGCAGATGCAAATTCACAATAGATGAAATAGAAAATTTCTGTTCAGAAAAAATTTTGAAACTCCTATTGGCTCATGACCCAGTTATTCTGACAGTCCATGTAATTTAAAATAAAACATCTTATTTGTTTTAAAACAGCTGTGGACATGTTATTAACCATGTTCATTTCTACTTACTATCTATTTATTTGTGTCTTGCATTTACAAGATTACAAGGACTCTTTATTCTATGTATAAGTTTGTTTTTTAAAAAACTTTGGTCTTGACTTGCACAATCATTAGATGTTCTCACTGAACAGCCCATAATGTTCCTTACATGTTTTCTTGAAAGGGTATTGCCAATGGAGATCTCAGCCATGGGCTCAGCTTATTGGTTTTTTCCGTTTGTACATTTGTCAGCAGTGAATTACCTTCCTCTCTCATTATATCTCAGGGAAAATTTTAGGGTGGAAATCCACAATAGCCTCTTCTCTTCCAGAAATCAGGCCCCGCAGTTTGGAAAAATTGTTTTCTTAATGGATCAAAAATTGGTTCGCTACACAAAGCCCAGCTTTTCAGGTGGATATAAAGTCAGAACTATCTAACCAGTGTACAGCATTTTGGCCTCGGGAGAGCAATTCTTGGGATAAAATGGATCTATCTTCAACTCTGGTGTGTTACCAAGGGTAGGACAGCTGCTCTTTTGTTCTCACATACAACCCAACAACTTAATTCACACAGAACATCCAAAAGCTTTAATATGATGATGAGTCTCACTCACTACAAGCCTATGCTGTATCTGAGAAAGTGACTTACAAGGGAAAAAAAATAAATTCATGCAATATTAATCCCTTGAGAAAATTAGAGACTAATGGAAAAGTCAGATAAAGACTTTGTTTTTTTACCAGGTGTCTAATTTTGTTGATTGCTAGAGATAAAACCAACAAGCATAACATAATTTAATCAAATCAAGTGATCGTTTGTGTTTGCTAAAACAGAATTGAATTACAGCTGTTTTCAGAAAAGAAAAAAAAAAAAGCTTTGATAGTATTCAAGACTGCCATTTAGCAAGACTTTATTGCCTCTGGACTGTAGACTGGCATGGGACTTCCAATTATGAAAATCTGTTTTATTGGACCACTTCACTGATGCCTGCTCCATCCTCCCTCAGTGGTAACACACTAAGGGCAGTACCCAGGCTCCATCAGGTGACGTTTTAAGCTGCAAAACTGTTTGCAACATTATAAACAAGATTCTAACTCATGCTAGACCCTGCTCTGTCAGTAATGCTTTCTGAAGAGTAATTAAAAGATTGCCTGAGAAGCTGCCATCAGGCTTAACCTGTTACTGGGTCTGAAGAACTGTAGGAGTGAACTATTAAGTAGGTCTCTGCTATACTTTTCCAGATGGTTCAGCTGGACAAGCTTGTTTTGACTCCTCTCTTAGCACTACAAGCCTTGTTTTCAGGCCCACAGAAGCTCATCCAGAAGCGCTATGACAAGTTGTTGGACTACAACAGCTACCTTCAGAGGTCAACAGGAGAAGAGCTGGACCTAGCAAAGAAAGACTATGAGGCTCTAAATGCACAGTTAGTAGAAGAACTTCAGGTTTTCAACAGAGCCGCCAAAAAGATTGTGTTGAACTGCCTGCATTGCTTCATCACCCTCCTCAGAAATATTATGTCTGCAGCACTTCAATCAAATTCTGCTGTGGTGGTGCCTGTTCCAGTAAGCATGTTAGAAATAGCTGTAGCTCTGCCTTTATTTGTCTTTTTTCTTTCTGTATAATTTGGCTAGTTATGTAGGACACATACCTACAAGCTACACTGATTGTGTTTGTTCTGCTGAGCACAGTCAGGTTTGGTTTTTTTCTTTTCCTTGTAAGCTCAGGAAAGATTACGTTCTGAGCTCAAGTTTTGTCAGGCCTGGACTTTTCTTTGAGAATTATCCTAATGCAGCAACTCCAGCTGCTACAGTGATAGTAATGGCAAGAACATTACAGTAAGGCCAAAAGAAGGCAGCTGTGAGCATTTTTGTCTTTGTTTCTTAGCTTGAGTAGCCCAGAAAACACAGGAAGAGAAATTCTAAGAAAGTAGTGTTGCTGCTAGACCTGAGGAGTAACAGACGACTGCAGAAGAGAAGCAGGTTAGGAGAGCTGAAGATGTAATTCCTACGAAAAGCAAATTGCTTTTATACTCAACTGTGCTGCAGAAGCTCCTGCAGACATCTCTAGGCAGTAAGGAATATCTTTGTCTATGTTGGCATTTTCAGAAAGTTCAAATCATTTACGTAGCCAAAAGTACCAAAGATGCATGTCTGAGCTACGCAGGAGGGCATCAGTTCCTCCAGCTCATTCTGCTATTTCTGGGCACTATGATCATTATCTGAAGATAGAAGTTGAGGAATTATTCTTAAATTATGTGAAAATCCCAGTGCTTCAGGTCTGTTGTGCTTTTGCCTACAGGGCTTAAACCCCCCCAGAGAGCTGCAACAATGCTGTCCACACATCCAAATCCCCTCACCTGAACCAGAGCAAGACTCTAGGCAGGAAACACATTGTAGTGAGGCAATTCTGGAGTAGTCCTTTCCATCAGGGCTTGAACACAACACTTTATAGTCAAGGACTGCTGAAATATTAAGAAAGCAAGGTCAGGATCAAAACACGGAGCTGCGCAATTTAACGGGATAATGAAGCCTTTTCCTATATGAAGAAATTGCATCCCTATAATTTGACCATTTGATGTTTTGAAAACTGTTAAGTATTGAGCATTGTTTTTCTGTGAGGCTCTGCCTACAAAATTACCTTTTTTTTTTTTCCCCTTCCTGTTTGAGTTAAGCATAGATCAAAAGCACTTATCCAATGCCTCAGACAGAGCTTCAGCTTACCCATCAGTTTTTAACCTGGTGGCAGCACTCAGTTGCACAAATATACAGCTGTAGGGTACATTACTTCAAGCCTTTCAGCACATTGGCCACTCTGATAGCTGCTGAAATGCACATTTACATCAGTAGCATTAAGTGCAAGGCTATTCAGTTGCATCACTGTTTAGAAGATTTTTTTAATTATTTGACTTAAATTAGTATGTCTCTTAAATCTAATACCAATCATTAGAAAGTTTATTTTCTTTCCACCTCGTACTTAGAACACTATGGGACCTGCAGAAAATAACAATATCTTGTCACATTTCCTGACTCCTAGCATTCAGCCTATTAAATCTAAATCTGCTCTCTCAAATTTCCTTACCATTTTGTTCAGGAGATTTAACCCACCTTTGTGTTTGTAGCTGTCTTCCTCTAGCATCTGTGAAGTGCAGAATCAGTTGATGGAGGAGGTTCACAAGCTGAATTTTGTAAAAGAAAACAGCAATGCAACCTTTATTGAGAGAAAATTGAGCTTCGAAAAAAGGAAACCTGTCCCTTCTCCGGTGAGTACTATATATCCAAATTGTGTATGAAGCATCCTCATTTGACAGCTTTTAAAATAAATCCATTTTTACACTACCTAGAGATTTGGGCTTGGTCTCTGCACCAGGGCTCTGAATCAGGTTGTTGGAATGAAGCTGCTCCATTGACCAGTAAGTTCTGAAGACTTTTTTGCTCTGTTTTCATGTTATTATCTTGAAAATCCACTGGAAATTATCTCTGAATACCCTTAGGTCTTTAAGCACATATTAAGTCTAAATTTCTATGTATAAACTTCAATTATTTATTTTGTTAAATATTCTTATAGTGCATCTAAGTCTTCTAATTCAGAACATATTTTTTGCTCATCTTTAGCTGTGGGTATGTGTATTGATGTTTACACACATACAGTCCTGTGGCAGAAGATTCAGAAAACCCACCAGTAAGGGAGGTGTGCTCTTGCTTCTGTGGTATGTTAAGGCCACAGTGATGTGCAGCACCTCCCTCCCTTCCCTCTAACCAAATTCCTGAGTGAATTAGTTAGTAGCAGTTAGTAGCACTTTGCCCTTCTTCAGCAGGGTAATTTCACAAAAAAAGCAGATCGTAGGTGTACCACTGACTTCTTTTTGCCTAATGCCTTATCACACAAGTTGTTACGTGACATTAGCACACCTCAGCTGACTTCTGGATTATGCTTTTTTTTGTGGTATTACATAGGAATTCAAAGATCATGGCTAGGGAAAAACAATTAAGGAAGTGACAGTTCACATATACAGCATTGGCTCTTTAAGAGCAGAGGACAGACTAAGAAGTCTTTAATTAGGCAAATTCTTACATTTCTTTAAAATTTGGCCTTTATTGCTCACCTGTTAACAGTGGTTAGACAGGTCCCTGCTGCATATGCAAAGGAAATTTGGTTACATCGAGCTGCGCAAGTAACTCCCTCATACCTGTAAAAATATAAGGTCAGTTGCTACATGCAGCATTGACTGTTTTTTATGTATCCATGTTGCTCTAGAAATTACCTCCGCGTTACTCCCAGTAATTCTTTTGCTTTTCAGCTCGAACCCCCACGTCAAACAGAAGGCCACAGGTCCAGCCTGTTGTCTACATACAGCACAAGCTCACTATACCAAGCTAAGCGCAAGTGCAATGCCACGCAGGAATTTGATATTGATTTACGTGAAGGAGAGTTGGTGGCTGTCGTGGAGCAGAAGGACCCCTATGGAAGTACGAGCAGATGGCTTGTTGACACAGGAAGTAAGTTCTCTGAACAAATACAATAACAGCTTCCCTTTGGGATATTGATTTCATTCTGGCCCCGTCTGTTTGCCTCTTATACTGACAGCTGCATAAGATGTCTAGTTTTAAAATGGTCTTAGCAGTATTTTGCTGTTTGTTTATTTTCTCTCTTTTTATTCTGGTGTCTAGTCCTTAAAGGGTATGTGTATTCCTCCTTCCTGAGGCCTTACAATCCATCCAAAGCGCAGAAGGCTTTAGCAGAAAACAACTTGGGTGATGATGATTTTGATAATATCAGCCTCTTTGTCTCTTCACGGCCCTCTACTGACAGAAGCACAGGTCGGGGTCACAAGAAGAGTGACAGCAGCTCATCTCTTCCCTTCTGTGAAAGTCCCACAATTAATGGCACAGGGACAGATGCTTTTCAGGATACGGATGATCAGCATGTGAGTGTGATACACATTGTAACTGTCTTAATTTTGTTCTTATTTGAAATCTAGAATGATACTGCTTATATTTTAAATGGTTTCCTTTTACACTGCAAAAGACTGGCACTAATACGTCAGTATGACATGGGAATTTGTTATCCTCTGTTCTGTGCCTTTCTTAAATAGCTACGAGGTACGGCAAGATAATCAGTTAAACCATGAATCACAGTCCTGTCTCACAGCAAACACACCATTGCGTTACCCCCTGCCAGGTATGATGACTCAAGGCTCCCCTACAGAGCAGGAACCAGAAAAAGAGCTTAGTTTGGGGAATTTTTCCACTCATCATTGACAAGAAAGCTGCGGCAATACTGATCAGAAGTGACTCACGTGCCACATTTGAGTACCGGGGCTTTAGGAAAGGTGATTCTCCTTGAGGAAACCTTGCTGGAAAATTTTGCCCCTAACTCCAGGCTGCTTCGTGTGACAGCACGATGCATTTGGTGTAAGCTGAAAACCTTACTAGTGGAGTAAGGTGATGAGGTCTTGAAGCTTGGTTTGTTCTTTCCCATGCAGAATTTCCCAGATCCTTCAATTTTACTTTTTATTTTGGCATTGTTCATTGTAGTCTAACAGTTGCAGACCAGTTGCAGTTGCATACTGGTTTGTATACATTATTGTACAAGTTCTGTACGCAGAATTCATACTAATACATAATGACAGGATGTTGTGGCTATGATTCTGAATTCAGATTTTGCTTTTTGTGATGTTCCTTTTTCAGACTTTCTATGCTGTTTATGCATTTCAAGCAAGAAACGATCAGGAACTCAGTCTTCAGGAGTACCAGAAGGTTAGGATACTTCAGTTTTCTGACCTGAGTGGCAATAAAGAATGGTGGCTAGCAGAAGCAAAAGGTCAGAAAGGATATGTACCATCTAATTATCTCGGGAAGATGACATATGCTTAGGAAAAGGAAAGCCCATTGAGCCAGTTTCTGTGAAAGTAGACAAAATATTCATCTATTGCAGTTTGCAGCAAGGCAAACTCACAAGTGATTGACAGAAGCCACGGTGTCTGATACAGCACACAGATGATACTGAGAACCTCCATCCTTCAAAAGCCATCACCTTGTCAAGACCTGAGGGAGCAAACATTTAACAGGAAGACTGATTCTGATACATCCTGAAGAGCTTGCTTTCCATTACCCCATAATTTTCTCTTTTGTCAAAGCATTCTACATCAAAAGTCAACCTACAACTACACATTACAGCTAAAATTATGTTTTTCTTCCATGATATTTAGCAAATAATGTTCAAGATGAAGAGAATTAGCCTTGAAAAGGGAGAAATTCAATCTTCAGGGATGCTGCAGTTCATCTTGAATTGTTCCTGAACAGCCACCTCAATCACCATAGACACATCTTAAAACTCGAGCTTTTTAGTTGTCTGTTTTTATCCTCAGCCACTTTTATAATCAGCCTTCTTCTCATTGAAGGTTATTGGAGCAGGAAAGAAAAAGGGTTTAATTTTTGTAGAAAACCTTTTAACTTAAAACATACCAAATGTGGTGGTATCAATGGCTGGTAACAGGGAAGAAGATATGTTTAGTTAAATATGGAATTAGGAGGAGGTAAAGAGGGAGCACAAGAAAAAGGTACTGTGAAATAAAAAATTACACAACTGCTTCACATGATAGGAAATGTTTTGTAGCAATATGAAAGTGCCACAGGTTTGAAATTTCACATATATCTCCACCCTAACTGCTTTATAGTGCAAGATCTGCGTAATGAAACAACATCCATGTTACTAGACTTGGGAAGTTTACTAAGACCAAAAAAAAAAAAAAAGTCAACCAGTGTCTTTCCATGAACATTTACTGACTATCTGATTCCTTAGGTCAGACACAAGATACAGGGAACATAATGTCTAGTGAATAAGTTAGTACTTAAGTTGCATCAAAATTTCTCTTCCAGGAAAAAAAAAAATTAAATCACCAGATCATCTGATGTTAGATTGAACAGTGAAGAATACATCGATGAGCTGATTACTGTTTGCAGAATTCAGAGTCAAAAGCCCTGTATTTCAGTAAAACATCTTCAAAATAGGCAAGGTTATTTTAACAAGTTATTATAGTTCACACTACATCCTCAGCGAGCATAGAAAACAAAAAATCCCAAGGAAGGATGTGAACATCAAGTAGTACATTCTTACTTACAGTTCACTGATTACAGCAGTCCTTAGGTCAGGCTAGTGCCCTACGCTTGAGCTAGACTGCACAGTGATATAAAAGCATCTTGTTGCTATTACCATTGATAACTGAGTGTTCATTGCAAATTATTCTAATATAGCAATGTCTAATTCCTCTAGTGATGAGAGGACCTTATTGTGCTAAGCATTGCAAAAAGACACAAAAAAGTGACTATGCCTGCAGCAGATGGTGTAACTGAAGATAAGCTCCTCATTAATTATACTGACTAACCAGTAAAATGACACTACGATTAAAATTAAGGGGGGTGGTGTTGCTGATCAGGGGTATACAGAAATTGTTCTAAAGCTTTTGTGTAAGTTTCTACTTCCTATAGTTGAAGTGTGGAGCATGAAGATGAAATTATTCAAAACCCTTACTGACAGTAATAGGAAAGAACTTGTCAACCAAGAAACGATGAGAAAAGTTAGGGCAGTCGATGTGGAAATCTGGGACACTAATGAACCTTTAGTGTTTCCTTACTGTCCCAGATTTCCGCATTATTTTCCTCAAAAGGTAAAGAAAGTTCTCAATCTTGCTCAGAAGATGAATGCAGTAGATTACAGAGATGAGAATCTGAAATTTGTGCTGGATTAAATCAATGATAGAGAAACTTTGCAAGTTCTCAGAGATTGACATCCAGAAACTGGTATGTGAAACTCTGGGAACTACTGCAATCCAATGAGCAATCATAATAGATAATGCGTTATTTTACCTCACTGTGCATCACCTCATGCACTTAAATCTTGCCATTTCCATAGCAAGAAAAAAAATACATACATTTTATTAATGGATGTAGCTGTTTCTATGGAGAACTTTGCCTTTGGTTAAATGAAGAAAATAAAGCTTTGGAGAGCGACTATCGGCTTGAAAGAACAGACTGAAAGACTCTCCCCTACTAAGGTTGCACTGCTTTGACCTTTATGTTTTAAGCAGCTTTTCAGCATGTCTTACAATTTAGAGCATTTTATCTGGAGATGATCTATACTTTGCAATAGCTGAAATAGTTTTATAAGTGAATGAATTGTACTTAATAGGTTTAATGCAGTCATGTAAGCACAATGATGAAGTTTTGTATTTCAGACTGAAATTAAGGGCATCAGGAAAAAAGATTTCTGAAGTTTCAGCTCTGAGAACTCAGTCTGAGTCACAGGGAGAGCTCTGATTTTGAGGGATAGGTACACTCCTCATGAAATATCAGGCTCTGTGAAGGTGTCTCAAAATATACTCAAATGCTGCTCTCCAAAATATTCACTAGGTGTCCTTAATTAACAAGGAATGAAGGATGAAATACACTGAGGCTGGCCACCTAAATTTCATTGAACTTCTGTAAGCCTTGGGTAGCCATAGTAGGCCATATGAAATCCCAGTGTATGGTTAGGACCCATAATAATTTTTGTATTGTGAGATAATTTATATGATTACAGCTGTTTAACTTGAGATCCAGGAAAAGTACTTTGTTAGCTACCTAGGTGTATTGGTTTAATTCATTTCAGAAAGTCAAAGTTTTAGCTATTGTCATTTGATATTACAGATATATTGCAAATTTTTACTTTTGTCTAAAACATGAATGCAAACTACAGTTGCAAAAGATTAAAAGACGCTCTTTGAATCTAAACTCTTCCTACATTAAGGAAGAAATTGTTGATCTACAACAATTCGTATTAGACTTGCTTGCATTTTTGTTAAGGTTGTGCTTGAAATACTAGAAACTGAGCTATGTTAGGGCTCTAGAAATTCCTAAGAATATGCAATGGTTTTGCATCTGTTTCTTTAATGTAGAGGAAGTTATAGTATTCTAAGAGTTTTCTTATTCTGATTAATGACAAAACTAATTTATTTTGATTGAAGCAGGGGCAGGCTGCAGTTTCACGGACTGATCTTGCATTTATTCTAATATGCATATTACTTACTTAAACCATTGTGACATAGGCACGTACAAGTGCTTCCAAGGTTAGGTCCACCCAAACTGAAGTGTTTCTCCATTCAGGGAATATTTTTAGGTGTTGCCATTGATAACTTGGGAAATGTCCAAGCCAATGAACAGCACAGAGTCTCTGGCTCTGACTTCTGGCACCTCTGTGCTTCACCATCTTCCATCTGCTTGGATAGTGCTTGTGAACCTTACGTAAGGATTCACCTTTCAATACAAACACAGATTGACAAATTATTTCTTGTGACTTTTCATCTTAGAAAGCTTCACTCAGTAATTACCTCCTTCAAACAGTAAAGTATACTTTTGTTGTCATTTTAAGATAGCAGGTACATTAAGTGGCCCCAACATCTACAATAGGAAATAGCCATGACAATCCTCCTGCCTCTAGATGTATTACTAATAATTCTTCTTGCAATATTGTTTGTTCAGAAACCGCGAAAAAAAAAATCTTATTTTGAATTACTGTAATAATAAAATCTATTTTTGTAAAGGTATGTTACTACTTTTTTTTAACAAGACTTCTTCCAGAAGCACAAAGCTTTACATGCTATCCAAGATCTGCCTTCTGTTATGAACTATAAAAACTATCACTGCAAAATCAGCAGAGCAAATACAGTTGCCTCAGACAAAATACTGCATTTCTAGTATGCGTCCTATTTATGTATCAATATATTAGACCTCATCAAACACTATCAAATACTGAGCAAAATTTCAAATTATACTTCAAGTTTCCAAATGTCAGCTTCTGTTCTTTTCTAGCTGCTCCTGAAGTTGTGACCGTTATTTACTGGTGTATCCACTCAGAGATCTGTCATGAGATGCAACAGATAAAAGCTTGTGTTACTAAAATAAGTTACAGAACTTTGAATTAGGTCTTTTCCCTTAGACTCAGATATCACCCATATCCCCAAGTCTGGCCAGAAGAAACACTCATGGAACCCAACTAACCTATTGTTTCACAGTATTAAGGGCATCAGAAGTTGGGCATCTATGGAAAAAAAAAATAAAAATCAATATTTTAGTTCCACTTAAATATATCGTACCAATTTATAAAATGGATAAGAAAAGTCAAACAGCAGTTTTTATATTAAGTCACAGAGAAATTTGGTTTGGGGATAGAAAAAAATCACAGGACTATTTTCCAGTTATTTTTTTCTAAATACGAGGTATGCTTCTCAAAATTCAGAAGAGCCTCCCTTCTTTCTGCCCTACACTAGATTCTCCAACCTGATGAACAAATTTAGTTGAACAATCCTGTAGAACAGACTCCTTTCCTGAAAATACAGTTGTTAATTCCATCCTAACTATAACTTCAAAGCAGAAAGTAACTGTTCCCTTCAAGCTACTCTGGTTTTCAGCAGTGCCTATCTTACATATTCAAGCTAAACACTTGATTTAAAAGACCAGGTCTATGCTATAAATCCTTTCTGATAAAATACTTCAAAGAATCGCAATCCTAACAGACGTTTTTATACCAACAGAAAGAGACGTTCGTTATATTTCATTTAGGAAGCTGGGAAACTTACAGTGGAAGAGTCTTTTGATGATACAAATTGCAGTTCTATTGCAGATTTTCCTAATATGGTGATATCAGCAAGTCCAGCTAGATTTGGCTTTATTAAGAGGGAAAGTATAGGCATCCATAAAAGGTATAGCATATAGCATTTAGAATGAATAGGAGATAGCCAACCTGTGCCAGAGTTGTAGATGCAAAAACACCAGGATACACTTGAATCAGGCCTCAGAGGTACTTTAAATGGTGCTAGCTACCACAGTTTAAAAACAAA